GATTACTGCTCGGTCCCTTCTTGGTTGATAAGTGACTATCTCGTTGATCGGCGTTGTGGGTTGGCTTGAAGGTGATGATGACGATGATGAATCGAAGATGCAGTTAACGAAGTTCTTAATTAATGGTGGATTGATTTCTCCACGTCTCGGATCCGCGGTTGAACAGCATAACCGTTGTAACCAGCGAAGGCATCCGAAATTTTTACAGCATTTTAATAGCACAAATAGCACCAGAAGTGCCGCAATTGTTCCAAGGGCGACTGCGTACCACCTAGTATGTGTCACTATGAATGGCTGATTTATTTGTTTGGTAATGATCTCATTGAATTCACCTAATTTCTTATTGGCGTATTTGAGTTCCGTGAGATCGATGTTTGTAAGATGTATCGGCTTTAATGAGTCGTTGGGGAGATGGAAAATATCTTCGAATTCATGACATAATTTAATTATTGAATCTTTCTCTTCAGGATTTAGATGATCAGTACGTAGATTTTCATTTAATAACTTAAATCTTTCGATTGTATCTACTGGTTTATCAGAAAAATAAAAGATAGGGCTTGTTCAGAAGGACGTAGGAGTGGTAAATTAGGTTTAGCAAACGTTTTCTTTTCCGTGGATCGATTAATAATTGTGATTAAGGCCTCATTTTTGTTTATTACTTTTACTAGCGCGCTGGGGGTAATTAATGATTCCTTTTGATCCAATGTCCGGTTTAAAATTATTCCTTCTTTTAGATTAAGAGGGTTTTTGACCGATACCTTGGCCACCATTTCAGATCGCGGACTGATTGATATTAGGGACGTGTCCGATTGTTGAGTTGTATTTCGTTGCAGAGAAATTGAGAATGGAATCGATTTGTTTGAAATAGATGATTTTTGGAAATCAATTTTGCAATTTTGCGCGTCGAAAAAGTCTTGCCCTAAGAGACCATCAAAAGGAATTCCCGTATTGGAATCGAGAACTTGAAATTTGCAATTAAATAAATGCTTACGGACCGCTAAATTTAGTTCCGTTTCTCCGAGAGTTGCGATTGGCGCATTAATTTTATAATTATAGAGACTTGATTTTTTCACTAGGGAGACAGACGCTCCAGTATCGATTAAGAATTTTAAGATCCCATCGGGGAAGATTGATGATGGAGATTCGAATAGGACGAATGTTAACTCATTATTATTTGCGTAGACGTTGTGGAAAGTGAATGAATTAAGAAGTGTCGAAACATTAGATTCATCGTTATTCGTTAGCGTTTGCTCTGGAGGATTGGAGTTTTGCGTAGGAAGTTGATAATTCTGGTTACTTAGATGAACGCTTGAGTGTTGCGTATTTTGAGGGTTTGATCTGTTCCCGTTATTCTTATTGCGTCAACGTTTGCAGCAAATCTTTTGATGCATTCGTCGATAGAATGGCCCATATTTTTACAATATCGACATTGAATTTGATTAGTTGAACTGTGCGAGTTTTGAGTTGATATTGAATTGTTAGGCCGATTTGAATTTTGAAACTGATTTGGATTCTTACAATGATTTTGAGGATTATTTTGTCTAAAGGATGAATTTTGCTGAGTAAAATGAAAACACCCAGCATTTTTCCTGGACGGGCAGACTTTCTCTGAACCTTCTAAGGACTAGAATCTACGCTATTCTAACGACGAATATTGTATCTAGTGTTACTTCGTTTGTATTTTACTTTAATAATAAACATATTGAGTGGAATACAACAATTTCTCAAATTCTTTTTTAACCTTTTACTAAAAATATTTTAATATTCGATGATGAGATAAAGACGATATTTTGTGAAATTAGAAGAGGAATTACACATTAAGGAACAAAGCTATTTTATTTCAATATTTCAGTATTTCTCAAATTGATGTATCATACATAGTATAATATTAAATATCAAATTTTATAGTTTTACTGTATGAAATCAAATGAGTGAGAGTCACCTCTCGAGTACAAAGGGTTAACTTCAAAAATGAAAAATTGTTCTTTCGGATTTTCACTATATTTCGATGAAATTGCTGTATTTGCAGAATATATTTTTGAAATTTAAAGTAATTTAATTTGACATAAGGAAGAGTTGAAGGATGTCGAGTAGGCAATAATTAGATATAGTAAATGACTATTCGAATTCACACTGTTATCAAACTTGTGGTGAAGATTAGTGTCTCTTACCTTTAATGAGGAATTTTTAAAGTCGAATAAAGTTTAATTAGAGTTTTGTAGAATTTTCTGTTTTACCGTGAGGAGGTTAGTGTATTCCAAACAATGATACGCACTTGTTAGTCACTGTATATTTATATACCGGGTGATCGTATAACATAGAGTGGATATATTTATATAGCACAAATAAAATTGTTTACATAATAGTAGAAGACAATTGATACATTGTAATAGAGAATAATGGATAATAAATGGAGAATAATAAATTATATTTGAGAAAGATAATAAACAACTATAATTGTGAATGGTCGCTATATAAAGGTAATGTAATATTTATATATAGTTATGTATATAATAAAGATAAAAGTATAAATATAATAATTCTAAGAAAATATATAGGATTAATCAGCTATTGAGTATCTAATTTACTATAACGAAAATAATCTTTTAAGTAAAATGTAATTTTACTATCAATTTATTGATTTTACAATAAACTCCGTAAAATAGAATCTTTATTAACAATATCTATTAATAAAAATGATCAGAATGATGATGATAATACACACTGAATACTGCGCGCTTCCAAGTTTTTCCAAATGATTTACAAATGGTTTGAATACTTTGCTTAATTTCTCCTTTTTTTTATTCACTGTATATCTCCGCAGAGAACGTTATTTTTAAATAATAGCCTACTATTAAATATAACAGACACCAGCGTCAAATATAATATATTACATCTTTTTAAAAATTTTGTTCTCAGAAGAAATGAACTGCCTATTTTTTTACAGTTTGGTAGATTCATTTCGTTTTTTTTTAATTCAATATGTTTAAAATATAAATAAATATTTTTTACTAACTTCGTGACTAATGGATAATTGTATTACTATCTTCTTTCTTAACTTTCGTAACTGTTGTTTCATTTATGCCTTTTTAAATCAATCTAATAAATAATTTGTGACTACTGAATGATAGATCTTTGTGAAAATTTCCATTTTTATGAAATGTTTTATGAAAACCACAAAGTCAAGTTTATTTCACCAGTCAAATAATTTCTTTGGAAGTAAAAAGAAAAAAATTATTAAATATTCTGTAAAATAAAAAATATTTCGTTAAGAAATAGAGAATCTTAAAATCTTTTGACAGTGTAAACTGATACTATACGACAGAATATATTTCTATATAAATTATTTCGTATATATTATATATATGTGTTCTCCCATCCCATATATATAAAAAATTTAAGTTACATGTAATAAAAGAAGCATCTGACATTATAGGACAATATTAACAGCTTTATTTACTCTGATTTGCAAAAGATGAAAATCCCTTTGGTATTTTACAGACTATCGGATGCACTTCCATTTCCAACTGAATATATGTGATGTAATGAGTGTAAAATATTTTTTATACAATATTTTTCACGCGCAAAGTGATTAGAAACACTTGAGAACATAGAAACAACAAATTTCAATTGAAACAATAGACGTAAGCCTAACAAAAGGAAATACTCCATTCGCATTACATTTTTTACCACTCTTTTGCTATTAGACTGATTTACAGTTTAGGAAGAGGTGATTATGTGCAAACCTTTGTGCTAATTGCGCATAAGATATTACGTATTAAATAATTCACCAATGAACACATAAAATGGCAACAAAAGTCATGATTGCACAAATCCTCACCTTTCATGTCTTCCATTTCATACCTAATTTTAATCGTTTGTTATACAAAAACGTACATAGATATGTTCATTCCATTAAATTAATAATAAATAGCTATGATAAAGTGTGATGACGTAGCTTTAAAAACGAAAATCCTCTTTCTATATACACGACCGATGCTTGCGTCTCTTCACACGCTAAATTTACCTAAGCTGGTTAGAACACTATTATTCTTAAGTACAAGGCATTTCTGTGCAGAAAATTTCACTGCCTATAATTTACAGAGGCAAAATAGTAAAGGAATAAATGCCCCGATTGCTACAAAAACTGGTAACATTATTGAAGAGTCATCAATTGAATATGGATCTGGAGTTCTAGGACCACTTGTGTGTCGACTACGCACTGTAGACTCTTCTTCGTCTTCCTGTATATTCTGATATTCCTCCGGTTCTTGAGGAATTGGACCTAACTGTGGTATATCTGAAATTACAGAAGTCAATTGCATAACATGATCTGGAAACTCTTAAATATACTAAAACTTGACACAGTACCTTCTATATTTCCTTTTATAACAACAATTGCATTTATCTTTGGGTTATCTCTATATCCCTGTGGACAATTGATTAAAATTAATTACATTTTCATTAAATAACAATCGATTTTAATTATAAGAAGCAAGTAAGAAACCAATGGTAATACCTTTATAAATTCAACTCGAATTTTTCCAGCTAAAATATCTGATTCTTCGTCATTGTATATTAATTTTCCAGACTGAACTTTAAATGGAATATATTCGTCATGTGCTATGCCACGTCCAACTCTTTCAAATATATCTAAGTCAGTAACAACAGTATGGTCTCCATTTAAAACCACATCAAAAACCTACAACAAATTATTGAAACATAAAAGTTTTAGTCATCAATAGTGCTTGAACCACTAAAGGTATTGATATTATAAAACTAAGAAACCTACATATATAGTTTATAAATATTGTTGGTCTAAGAATTATTTTTAATCAGCAAAGGACATTTTATTAGATAATATCTATAAGCTAAGAATTAAGCAAAGAAATTGTATGAACATTACCTTCATATTGGGAGAATTAAAATAAACTTCGCAGAACTTTAATATCATAACATACTCTCCATCTTCACTAATTGGGATGTCATACCCGAAGGTACTGTGATGGTAACGTTCTGTTTGATACAATATTTGATCGATAGCATTTATTCTTCCGATAATTAACTGCTTGCCATAATCAGATGCTGTACCAACTTTGCTCATTAATGGATCTTTGGCATAACGAATTCCAAAACTGTCAGTGTGCGCCTCTCCACCACAATTTATTGCATATATCACTTCCAAACCCTGAAAACTTTGCACACAAAGGGCGAATAATAATACTGATATTGTCAACAAATGTACTGCCCATCCCGAGGTCATTTTTCTTATCATACAATAAAATGAAATTCAACTTTCTCCAAGTAACAATGTAATCATAACTTTTCTCTTCTGAATTTGTTCTGACCGGCAAGTGAGGTTACAATTGAAATAGAGAAACATTTAAGGCCAGCGATATTGTAACTTCGTATATGATAAGATACACATGTTATCAAATCAAATTAAATTCGTCTATATTTGATTAGAATTGATATACTGTGTTCTATTTGTTGTCAACAAATATTATGTATCCCTTCGGGACACGAAACACGCGCTTCTCAACATACGTTCACGACTGCCACGTTAGGATTACGTGGTCATCGATGAGTCAGGTTAGGTGTGTAGACACAGCTTTTAATGAAAAATGCACAAGGTAGTAGTGTTGATTACAGAACTCTGTAAATGTTTCTCTTTCGTGCATCTAATAGAAAATGAATATTAATTTGTATAATTCAGACTAAAATTATCTGTGGTTAACATACATTTTATTCCAACGCTTTCAAATGTTTTCTATCTAAGGTGAACCTGTATCCTTTAATATTATTGCAACTATTACCGACTGAGTTCGACTAAAATTTTCACTCATAAATAATGTTTTAAATCATTTATTCTCGATCTATTATTGTAAAAGTAATAACAATTATGAAATACTAATTATATGAATAATTATAATTACTACGAAGAAATTTGTTTATATTTATTACAAATTTTCAGATGATGATTTCATATTTTTAAAAAATTCAATAGTGTTATCGAAGCAAAGAAAAATCTATTAATAGGAATATAAAAATAATAATACATTGGTGAATTTTAGATAATACTATTTTATTAAGTATTTGATTGCAATACAGCTACATTGAGATTGTTACGAGTCAAAAGCTAAATTATATATATATATATCAATTACCAGAACAACAGAAAAGTAGGAAACTACGCGCTGATCTCTTGCTGTTCGAGTAATTAAATCATTTGTGTACGATTTAATCTTCCAAATGTGAAAATTTCATCTCGTCGATGTGTCGCATTTGTCCGCAAAGGTTAAATTAAATTTTAAATTAAATTTTATTTTCAATTATTCTAAATTCAATTTTATTTTCAATTATTCTAAATTCATTTTTATTTCCAATTATTTTAAATTCAATTTTATTTTCAATTATAATAATACTTACGTATTATACGATAAACCATATAATGTCTATTTATCTCGAGCGAATGTAGATAGCTATGATAAAAACAAACTTCCTCGAAGGTGAACGCACACGAAGGGACACCTGGATGACATTCAGAAGACGTTAACGGGAATGTCGCTCACCTGCCTCCATTGCCGTCTTCCTTTTCTTACCACCTGGAAGCCTTACAATACCCGCAACACATAAACGGTGGTCCTTTGAAAAACCGAACAATACACAGATTTTTTCTGGCCAGAGGCTGATACAACTTATCCTTCTCTGAGGACGTGTATGCTAATATTGATCTCGTGCCGATCTTTAGCGAAATGGGAGTTCGACTTTATGCTTAAAAATCATTCGATGTTTAACACTGTATAAATTTTACTTTATATATATATATTTATAGTACGTGTTAAACATCGAACGATTTTTAAGCATGAAGTCGTCTCACCTGTACACATTTTATATTATATTTATTGTATGATGAGTCGACTTCATTCCTAAAAATTGAAACACATGCCACACACGTCGAGTGTGATGTCTTTCACGCATCGATAATCTTGTCGCATTACGCCTATTAGATTGTTTCGAAATGTATCACTCTATACAGAATTAGAACAAAATTAGATTAAATCTTTGAATTCATTTCCAGCGCAAGCGATTAACACCGTATAGATTTTATTTTATATTTATTGTACGATGAGTCAATTCGATTAATGCAGTTACGCAAATGTATATCCTGTTTACTTTTAATCCTCTAATTTCCAAGATCTAAATTTCATTCTAAAATAGTATCAATTTTTATAACGATGGATATGATTTGTCTTATCTTATCGAGCATGCCGCCAGCATAGAATACATGATTCCATTTGTACTTTCAATTTCATGTTGTTTTAACACGTTCGCGACCAACGTTTGTTTCTTCTTTAAAATGTGATACTTTACATTATAATCGATAATATAGTTTAAATTTTTGTTTCTGGGACGAGAAACTATTTAATAAGTACCATTTTGTGACCGTTTATGGCCAAAGATATAGTTTGAATTTTTGTTTTTAAAACGAGAAACTACTTAGTAAGTACCATTTTGTAACCGTTTATAGCCGAAGATATTCATAATTCAACCCTGCAGAAAAAGATATGTTTTAAGTATATATGTAATATATATGAGATGAAATTCAATTCCCTTCATGGGTGTTCTTATTATTAGTCGTTTGCCTCGAAACGTTTAAATGAAGGTCACTCTTGTGTACGGTGCAAGTACTTAGGTGAAATTGTCTAACATCGTACGATGTATGATCTATTAGCAGATACTAAACAGTATATCCAAATTTTTCATTTGTACAACCGAAAATTATATTGTTAGATTTTTTAATGTTGTACATATATATAGAGTGCATTTCTGGTTGTATAATATATTAATATTATATCTATGTAGATATTTATTTAAATACTTACATTGAATATACTTTTTTAATACTTTATTAATTTACTATCGTGAAGAAACAGAGATAATAAAGTTTAATTAGTAAAGATACTTTAATCGCGTATTAAAATACAATTGACTTCTTAAAATACGCGAATTGAAAATTACAGTATTAAACAAAATGATATTTCAGTATTCGAATATAACAATAAAATATTTTTAACAAAGTAGCAAATCTACGAAGACTGATGATAATCACTAAAAAAAGAGCATTTGAACTATCGAAAATCTAAAATCATTGCTTCTAGTGTTAAATATAACAGTTTCGATCGTTCTACGATGTGTTACACATACCGTCAACCATAAACCATTAGGAAATTGAATTTTTCAAGATAACTAGAAATTATAATAAAAACATGATTCTTCTAAACAATTTTGGTATTATGTTCTCTTTGTAGTATACAATATATTCTCCTTACAGCACATTTACATACCTCGTACACTTATTTAAAAATGTTGGAAGATAATAATAACAATAATGAAAAAAAATATAATAATAACAATCGAAAATAATAATAGCAATATAAAACTATAAATAAAACAATATAAAGCACATTTACATAGCTCGTACGCTTACTTTACAAAATGTTGAAAAATAATAATAACAATAATAAAAAAATATAATAACAATAATAAAAAAATATAATAATAACAATAGAAAATAATAATACTAAAACATTAAAAAATAATAATCATCGATCTATAAAATAAATGAACGTAAAGAGAACCAAAGAAAAAGAAACTTGTAAAACGAGTATAGTAAAAATGTTTAAACAATATTGTCAGAAGATTCAGACTGGCATAACTACTTCGAAGGCGATTTCTTTTTCCCCGGAACTTGATTACTTCATAGTCTTAATAACTCCGTGGCATGTTCCATTCACCGACAATTTTTTATTGATAGGTATGTAAACGAATCTGTTCGCAGTAAAGCGAACGTAAATAAAACAGTCGCGCTGAAAATACGTTCGTCGTAACACAGTCACTGTTATCAGCAACGAGATCAATATAAAATATAAGTTTCGGTATCAGCGACAATCTTCTGCTGTGATAAACGGATTTTCACGCCGTTTCCTTATCCACTGTTGGTCGTACTCTGTCAATCATAACCGTGTAACAGATTCCCATAGAAAATCAAATTTCTGTAGAAACTCACGTAAAAAGATCGAGGAAACTTGAAATTTATTTTCTACGATAAAGTTGATTAAATTATAGATAAAATAAAATACAGAAACTAATTCTACAGAAACTAATGGAAAAAGATTGAAGATGAAATTTATTATATTTAAAAAATAAATTAAAGATTAAATAAAATTGTTTAAAATTTCATAGGAGTTTCTATTGATTACTGTATTTATATTATTTTTTTCAACGTTCAATCAGTTTTAGTTTGCAAAATATTAAAAAAAGAGACTACTGACTTTGATACGAGGATATCATTGCATTTTTAGGTTAGTAGAAACCTGGATGGAGATATTCAATTCTCGAGAGTGTTAGATTTTTAAAAATTAATTTATAAATATTTGAATATATTCCGTCACACTTTCATGTAACAGAGAATGTTTTATTTAAGATATTTTTATATAGCTCCGTAAGAAATGATATCTGCAATTTTATGACACTGGCAAGTCACACGAATCATTTAACAAGATCTTGTAATTACATCGTGACATGGCAATTCCTCGTATTTTTCCACTGATTTATAACACTCACAAAAAGGCCGACTGCTTCGTTATATCCAATAAATTCTGGACATAATAATTTAGTATAAGAAAAAACAATTCTGCGCGAATTATTTCGAATAAAAAATAAAAACATAAAATCCTTACAAAATTGGGAATTATTTTAAAGTGAACAATAAAAATATAAAATCCTTAAAAAAGTAGAAATTATTTTAATTTAAAAAATTATGCCTTTTATTTGACAGAGGAAGTGCAGGTACAGTCAAAGCAGAAGCAAGAGTTAACTTTAAATATGTATCTTCGTAGTTGCTCGTGGCTCTTAATTGAACGGAAATAACTGTTTCCAGCAATTGTTTCGCAGAATTATTCACGAATGTGATTACTCGAGTGGGGAGATTTATACATTAATAAATTCGCATTCTTATAACCTAAATTAAAGGAACTGGTGACACGTGTATGAAAACCCATTTTTTTTCTTGTAACGGACATAATTTACACATAGCCAAGATTTACGATGGGAGTATTGTAAAAACAGAGACACTAATGAATAACTTATTGTCGAGCAAAGAACACATGCACGAACACAGTCACGTATTGAACAGAATGCAAGTAGGCATGTGTATACAGACGTGTCTGGACTATGCTGAAACGCACTGGAAATTTCTGTAGAGCTAGCAAACTTTACTGCAACGCTTATCGTCATCGATTTTCTGCACCGTCTTTTGCTGCATTGACTACATTTTCTTTCTAATAACATTACTCGTATAATTCGATGGCATCAGTGAACAAAGGAGCATTGAAAATTATTATCCTGTCAAACCTACGAATTGTTTCCTGTTTTGAGGTTATAATAATATAACAAAGAAACAGAAAGAATAGAAAAATTAATATTTGCATAAAATCGTGAAATCTTTAAGAGTACATTTTTCGATCAATTCAATCTGTTAAATATTATTGATAATATTACGATTTATTTTATTTACACCGATTATAATTTGAATTGCAATTTACTCACCTGTGGAATTTTTCCATTAGCGCTGTTGTAACAAACTTGCAAAAAAATAGTAAATGTTTGTTACTATGATATTTTGAGAATGAAATTTTTTAATTATCAACAATTTATTTTGTTATTAAAGGAGTACGCCAATTTGTAACTCTTTGTTAAAAATGAACGTAACAAACATATGTAGTGATTTGTAACTGTACAAATGTGTTGGAATTTGTTTTTAAAATTTATATGTGCGCGTGTACATGAAACATAATTTTTTACAGTAGAATATAATATTTTCAGATTTATAATTGAATAGAAGTAAATATATAATTAATTACAGTATCGAAGTAATTATTTCTGAGAGATGATATCACGAAAAATTTGAGATATTTTGAAGCTCCTCGAAAACTGTGCATGCACACATATAGGATTCGTACGTCACTATGTATATGCGTCCACGGAATATACATATGCGTCACTATACGTGACGTAAGGCAGCTTTCAAGAAATTGACAAACTTTTACTGGAACGATTAATTCGCTTATTAATATTCCATAGGTGCTGGGATAATTTATTCTAATATAGTGTAACATTAAACGAGTAACGTATGCGAAAAACTGTATATATTTAAATCTTATGCGTTTCATACTATAGTAACATTAAACTTCGGCTAATGAATTCAAGTTCATGGTTGAATCTTATCGATTCGAGATAAAGAAACATATATTTCACACACTGTATTTCACATATACATTAAACCACTAGTATTATTTTAATACCTTTTATCCCTTCACGAAATAAATGTACACGTGCCGAAACTGCTGCATAGAAAATTCTATAAGGTAGCTATAAGGTTATAGATGTCAACGAAATGAAATGTCCTTGACTACATCGATTATAATCCGATGTAAATGTAACTACATACGTATATGTACAAATCATGTTTAACGTCTAGGATTATTGCGTTGCAAATACGTTCAACATTTCTTTCAAAGCATTAATTTCCTAAAACGATGAAATAATAATGCAGGATTTAAATTAATCAAACGTGACTTTTTGTTTATTACGTTCATTCGCAATAAGTAATAATTACATTCTTTATATTACAATATATTCATACTTGTACATCCAAATTTATTGTTAATATCTACTAGATGTTTCTCCACATTTCTCGTGTTTTCTACTTCCGTGTCGTCTGCCATTCCAAGCGGAAGTCATTCTAAAAAATGATGTCTCAAAATTGTTAATCCTTGCAGCATACGTTAATGGAATTATAAATTAATTTTGGTTGCAATAAAAGAAAGGCAAATCTGAATATTTACAAGATCTAAATTATATCTTATCCAGTCGATAATCACAGAGAATTTCAGTTTTGACATACGTAGTTCACAGCATATTACCAATGGCCATCTGAATTCGGTAAATACCGGCATCTGATTGGCTCCTCTAAGGGGCACGGGTGGGAAGAACATTCTAGAAGCGTCCTCTGGAGAAGTAATATATACGGAACCGCAGTGCAGTGTCTTCACTCACGTTGCGAATCGTCGAACGAAGAACTTCTTCGCTGTCCTGTAAAACGAATTTTTATAAGCGAATAAAGAAAGGTGTGTAGTCGTTGTACGCGTATAAATTGTAAAGTCTAGGATTCATAGATTCGAAAAGGAGAGTCTGCCGTTTCATTTTTGTTACGAGAAATTCAATTTATTCTCTGCATTTACAGAAAAGCAAAATGGCCAAAGCACCCGCAGTTGGTATTGATCTTGGTACCACCTATTCCTGTGTTGGCGTCTTTCAGCATGGGAAAGTCGAAATCATCGCCAACGATCAAGGAAACCGTACAACACCCAGCTACGTCGCCTTCACAGACACCGAGCGATTAATTGGAGATGCCGCCAAAAACCAAGTTGCTATGAACCCCAACAACACTATCTTCGGTAAATATACTTTGAATAAATTACGAACTTCACGTATAAAACGTGGACATTTTAAATTTGTTTTGCCTCAGATCTTTAACCATGAATGCAATTTTTCTTTTTTATTTAAGTAGTGTAAAATTTGGATAATTAGGCTTTGTATATTTTATTGAGAATTTTGTACGAATTTGTTTAGTACACGTGATAAAGTGGATGAATGAGATTTTTGTGGGTTCCATGGGAATGAAAAGTTAGTTCTAAATTTCACAGAATTTTTTTGATTATTTTTATTTAAGCTGGTTAAATTGATCTAAAATTTTGTGTTGGTGTATGTAACATTGCTAAGAATGAGATTATTTTGATCAGTGATATAGTATAATATCATATAATGCTGATTTTAAATAGATTATGAGAAATTTATAAGTAATTATAGAGTATTCTTATATTAATGTTGTAACAATAGGGTTTTTCACAATTCATATATAGTTTGAATGCATGTAAAAAGCAAAATGTTACGCAATAAAAAAGTAGTAATAAATTCTAGCAGTTTGAAATATTAAAAATAGGCGTGGATAAGATTTAACATGGAAATGGAATGGAAGGTCGATATATGTGTGTATATGTGTCAACCATATACATGTATGGTTAGTCTCATGGTCCCTAGAGGACGCCTGTTTAGTACCTTATTAGGTCATCGTCGGTAGTAGCGGGTAATTTCGAAATGATTTACCACATACTTAAAGTTTTTTGTTTACAAAGTGAAAATTACGTTAACTATAACTGTGCAAAATAATAGTAAAATCAAAACAAAATTAACAGTGGTTTTCTACTTCGAGATTACTGGAACTATAACGTTCGTGCAATTGTTCATATACTATTTTTTCGAAATGTATAATATTATTACTTATTCACAATAAAATGAATTTTTAATATGTATCACTTAATCCCGATTTCTTGTTTTTCCAGATGCCAAACGTCTTATTGGACGTAGGTTTGAAGATAGCACAGTTCAAGCTGACATGAAACACTGGCCCTTCACAGTTGTGAATGATGATGGCAAACCCAAGATTAAGGTACAGTACAAAGGAGAGATGAAGACTTTCTTCCCTGAAGAAGTGAGTTCAATGGTCTTGGTAAAGATGAAAGATACTGCTGAGGCATACCTTGGGAAGACCGTCAGCAATGCCGTGATCACTGTACCTGCTTACTTCAACGACTCGCAGCGTCAGGCAACCAAGGACGCTGGTACCATCTCTGGCTTGAACGTTTTACGTATCATCAACGAGCCTACCGCTGCCGCCATTGCATACGGGTTAGATAAAAAAACCACTGGCGAGCGCAACGTCCTAATTTTCGACCTCGGTGGTGGCACCTTTGATGTATCTATATTGACCATTGAAGATGGCATCTTTGAAGTCAAGTCCACTGCGGGAGACACTCACCTTGGTGGTGAAGATTTTGATAACCGTATGGTCAATCACTTCGTTCAGGAGTTCAAGCGTAAATACAAGAAAGACCTGACTACTAATAAGCGTGCCCTCCGTCGTCTTAGAACTTCTTGCGAGCGTGCTAAACGTACTCTGTCGTCATCTACTCAAGCAAGTATCGAAATTGATTCCCTCTATGAAGGAATTGATTTCTACACTTCAATCACGAGAGCTCGTTTTGAAGAGCTTTGCGCTGACCTCTTCAGAGGAACACTTGAACCGGTAGAGAAATCACTGCGAGACGCCAAGATGGACAAGGCTCAAATCCATGACATTGTTTTGGTTGGAGGATCCACCCGTATTCCTAAGATTCAGAAGCTGTTGCAAGATTTCTTCAATGGCAAGGAATTGAACAAATCCATCAACCCTGATGAGGCTGTGGCTTATGGAGCTGCAGTACAAGCTGCTATCCTACATGGCGATAAGTCTGAAGAAGTACAAGATTTACTGCTTCTTGACGTTACTCCCCTGTCTCTTGGTATTGAAACTGCTGGTGGTGTCATGACTGCTCTGATTAAGAGAAACACAACCATCCCAACGAAACAGACTCAAACTTTCACTACATATGCCGATAATCAACCTGGTGTACTCATCCAAGTCTACGAAGGAGAACGAGCGATGACAAAAGATAACAATCTGTTAGGAAAATTCGAACTCAGCGGAATTCCACCAGCGCCGCGAGGAGTTCCTCAAATCGAAGTCACCTTCGACATTGATGCTAACGGTATTCTGAACGTCTCTGCAGTAGATAAGTCTACTGGCAAAGAAAACAAAATCACCATCACCAACGATAAAGGCCGTCTTAGCAAGGAGGACATTGAAAGGATGGTCAACGAAGCAGAGAAATATCGTAATGAAGATGACAAACAAAAAGAACGTATTGCTGTTAAAAACAGTCTTGAGTCTTACTGCTTCAACATGAAGAGTACAGTGGAAGATGAGAACTTGAAGGATAAGATCAGCGCAAGTGACAAGCAGTTAGTATTAGATAAATGCAACGAGATCATCAAGTGGCTTGATGCCAATCAACTGGCTGACAAAGAAGAGTATGAACACAAGCAGAAGGAATTAGAAGCTATCTACAATCCTATTGTCACAAAATTGTACCAGGGTAGTGGTGGTGTACCAGGTGGAATGCCTGGTGGTATGGGAGGATTCCCAGGAGCAGGAGGAGCTGCCCCAGGTGCTGGTGGAGCTCCTACTGGCGGAGCAGGTAGTGGACCTACCATTGAAGAAGTCGATTAATTTTCTCACTTACCACTGCCCTCTACATGGTTCCGCGAAGGGGAAAAAAAGATCCAACGAATTTGAAGAACATAGAATCATTACAGCTGTGGTATTTTCGTTCCTCAGTATAATTTAGCTATGTTTGTTTTCATGTATACATTTGAGAACATTATATTTATTTATTTTATTTCTGTGAAACTGTAAAAATTATTAGATCTTTTTTACTATCGAATATGTAAGGAAAAGAAATATAATTTAATTGTACTTATTTAATAATCAGCATGAAAAGAAAGGTCTGTTAATTTTCTATGTTCGAAGAACTTCGTCAAAAAAATAAATCATATGAAATTTATTACATGACTACTATTTCCTTTCCTGTAACTTAATTAAACTTAAGTCAGATTTACGTAAAACTTCAACCATTTTTAGTAAAATTGTTCAATTTCTAATATGTAAACAGTAGGAACCGCAACTTGTCGCGAATGAAATTTGTAAAATCACAGGAAATTAATTAAGATAAAATATTTCATTCGTTTTGTGTTGAAGAATATATAAAATTTGAATAATATCTATATATATTCAATTGCATTTCTTTTATATATTTTGATGTCAGTAAAAAATGGTCCAGTTCGAAGTCATTGCCTTCCATTATTACCGTGTGGACCTACAAATTCCCTTATATTTTTCTTAACGAGTAGAAAAATGAGTAATTTTATTAAAGAACTATATAAAATGCAGTTATTATTACTCAGTTTCTTCTAGATCATATAAAATTATTTTATTAACACACAAGACATTAAGACCTTTTCGATGAAACAAAATTTTATTTGCAAGCACAACAGGATATTACAAAAAACATTAATCTGTAACCAATAATACACTGACGAAAATTGGACAGGCGTGCAATGCGACACCATTATACTGTGATAAGTATTAGTATACTTCAATGGTTTTCTAAAATATAATCAAAGATTCTAAAATATTGTAAATGAAAAATTATTGGGAAAATTTTTAAAATAAGAACAAAGTACAAGCATTATTACGGCAGGAAATTAAGATGTGGGTGCCATAGTAGTTGCAAACAGTACCGTCGACTTTCCTCTTTTCTTCTTTTTCCCTCCACCATCCTTTTTACCTCCTAAAATACGGATAAAAGTGAAATTCTATATAGGTAATATTTATTATAGATAAATATATTTAGTCAAATATAATTAAAAACAGAACAACATTTTTGTTATTGGTTAAATTTCGTAGCTAAAAGCTCAATTATTCAAAATGAAATTTTAGGCATTATTTCATTTTTGTTTACGCACTACTACCTTAGAATTATAAAAGTGTAATACTTGCCTAATAACTTTGTTTGTTCCAAAGCCGCTGCCAAAGCATCGCCAAAGCTTTGACTGTGTGTTGGTGCCGCGGTGTACTCTTCTTCCTCGGTATGCCTTGAAATGGACTTAGCCGATACAATCGGAACTGATTTGTCGTGAGTAGAAGTTATAGAAGGCCATGCAACTGGAGATTTTAAGCGCGTGCCGGTATTCCGTAACATTTCCGCGAACGATGGTCCCTGTTCATGTGCGGTATTGTCGGCTTGTCTGTTATGAACAATTTCGTCGAATGTACTTAATGACGGACTGCTGGCCATGCTCGAAGTTTTTGTTGACTCCGGTGGTGATTGAACGCTTTCTTCTCTTTCTCTGTATAAACATTATTTGTTTATATCATCTCGACTTATTTCCATACTACAATATAGACAATATACATACTCAGCAAATAATAACTCCGGCTGCCATTCAGGAAAATGTCTTTGCGAATCAATGTGTACATTTGGCCTTGGATATTTTCCCATTCGCTTATTTTGCTCTTCAGTGATCTTTTTCTCTCTTTTTCTTTCCTCGCGTTCTCGTTGTTGTCTGCGTTTATGTCTCAGTGCCAATTGATCTGTAAAAATAATTTCAACAGTGATTATCTGTTTTCAAAATGTAAAATAACTTTTTGGTCTGTACTAAAGAAAACTACCATGAAACGACGTAAGAACTTCTTCTGATACAATTGGTGGTTTCAAGTCGATTTCTGCTACTTCGAATTGGCAAGTAAGTGGCAAGTGACACAAATATCTCAATCTACGCCTTAGATCTTCGGTAAGACTTCCTCCTTCTTTCTCCAAGAGTTTTCCTTTTATCATATGAGGAGAATTCTCAAGACTACCATATTGCCGTTCCAGCATTTTTACATTCATCGCATGAAGATACAAATGTTGCCCATCATCCGCTACAAATGAACACTTTTAAATAAATTGATTATAACAATAAAAAGAAAAGTATGAACAGAAAGTATGTCGTGAATTAAAAACCTTGATAGAAGTAAAAGTATTTCTGTGTACTTGAAGTCGACTGAGGACTATTTAAATTTTCAAGTATTTTAGAAGATTCCTCATCATTATCTTTTATTTCGTTTTTATTTGCATCATTATTGACTTCGTGGTTATCTAATTCTTGATGAAATAATTGCTGTTTTTCAACGACACTGTCTTGTTCTTGCGTTGCAGTTGCGTCCTCTTCTAATTTCGGTTTCATCTGTAACCGAGAAACATCATAAATATTGAAGATTATATTTTGGCACATTACGTTTCAAATAAGTATACTAATATTACCTCATGGAATAGTTCCTCTTCTCTTTTTGAAAGTTCATTAAGTGCTTGTTCAATGTAACAATTTTCTGGTGAATCAGGATTATCTAACATTTCCAATTTCAATTGAACACGTTCACTTTCGATAATATTCATCACCTGAACAATTTAATTTATTAGAACAATATAAAAAGTTGAAAGTAAAAGATTTAAAGATGGCGTATCTACATTTCCCAAAATTGTAAATACTTACGACATCTGTATTTGCAATTAGAAGTTTTGAATACACCTCTTTGCCAATAATCTCTGCAGCAGAGAAAAAATTTATTGGATTTTGAGTTGCAAACCCAACGGGCACAGCAAGTAATGATCCCTTTTCACGGCGCATTAAACGTAAAGTAACAATATCTCCTATGTTCAGCATGGTTTGTGTAATTTCTGTAACGCTAAAAGTGAACATAGAGTTTTTTAACGAGTTTATTTTGTGATTCTCTAAATATCTGTTGATTTTCAATTAATATTAAAATTACCTTTTTAAATCAGACTTCTGAATCAATTCATAACAAATGGGACATTTACGCCAAGATTTATCTGACAGTGATAAATAATGAAGAATGCAGGGCCAACAGTAAACATGACCACAGCGGGTCATTTTTCCAGCAACCGGTGTACATAAACAAATTGGACACGACAAGCTTTCAGGGCTATGAATTTTCTAAAATATAGGAAATACTTATTAATTTCGAACATTTTTTTTTTAAATTTAATCTATAACTTACAATTTGTTCTACTAGTTTCCAATCGACTAGAGTGTCAGGATCAGTCAGATATGATGAATAATTTCCATTGGCAGTTACAACAAATTGGCAGCTACAAGATAAATAATATTTAGCTTGTAAAGACATTAAGTTTATTACATTAGACATTAACTTATGTAACATTACCTGGCTTGTAAAAACTGTTCTTTGTTGTACTTATGTCGCTGGACTGGTGGAAGCCATCTATTGCTGTTGCGAGAATAACCCTTTGTAGATTTCCCATGACTCCATATACCTGAACCACCTTGCATTTCACGTGGTTCATAATGAAAATTCAGCAAGTGATTCAAATTCTGCTTTTTACTTCCATGGACCATTACTGAGCCATGCTCAGCTAATTCTGTTTGCACTACCTATAACAAAATATGAAGTTCAATTGAAGTCTCGCTCGCAAATTAGATATTAATAACTCATTTGAGTTTAAGAACAAACCTTGGTATCCTCCTTTGAACTGCCATGATATTGTCCTTTAGGTTTTGGTCTCTTATCAAAACTTTTTGCTTTCTGTACATTGCATTTCCTTGGCAGTTCATTCTTTGAAAAACTGCAGGATCCGGTTGGTTCACGTCTGCGTGAAGTCCTTGGGAAGAGCTTGTTATTTGTAACATCTACAAAATAAAAATGAAATTAAATTCTCTATAGTCATAAACATTCATAATCGGACATCAAAGTAACTAAACATATAATGGGTATAAAAACATAATAACAAGGAGGCTATACAAAGATTAAAACTTAATTGGATAAATGATTTAGAAAATCAAATATTAATAAGCTACATTTGAAAATGCAGTAATTGCATTAAAATTACATTTTTCTATACAAAATTCCAATATTTCAATAAATAACCATTCTCAACATGATATAAAATATTTTTTAATTCCTAACACATTTCTTCTAAGTAAAGCAATAAATAACCCAATCACAAATTTTGTAACTCTTTCATATTATATTTAAACATTTAAACAAAGATCTTATAAGTTCATTAGAGATTATACTATTAAATGTTACTTATATACATGGACAAGAACCTTGTTCTTTTATTAGACTTACCTTGTATTTATCACTTTAAATAAACTCACATTGTATTTTGCTTTAAATTAAGATTATGATTTAACTGTTCGCATGTATAAACATTTGTGTAATGTACACATAATACTTTTCTGCAAGGACACCAATATTCTTTCTGTCATTATGGAAATACATATTACATACAACAACCAATATGATACTAATAAGCTTTGTTACATAAATATTCTATATTATTTTAAAATAACTTTAATATAAATTCTATTAAACTTACATTAAACATCTTATAAAAAAATTTGTATCAAATCTGTTTATCTTTCAGTACGTGGAAATTATGAGTCATTTAGAAAGATAATGATTTCCACAATGTAAAAATAACAAACAAATAATAATATAAAAATTAGATTTAACTTATAGAAACATTATTTTCATTTTCATTAAATATCTCTAATAATAAATTACACGATAAACTAATATAAATCAGTTTACTTTCGTTAACGAACTGAAATCTTATTCACTTTGTTTACAATCATTCATACGAATATATAAATTTAATAATACACCTTACAAAAAAGCAAATTAAAATCAGATTTCTTAATTCGTTAGGTACATGTACTAAGTACCTCTGCAAATAATTTACAAATCTTGTTTCAGCCTAATACGAAATAATTACGTTACCTTCTAATTGCAACAGTTAAAAATATCGATTTGCTTAACCTGTTACTATAACATTCCGTGGAAAGAAAATTTAATGGAATACCAGAATCTGAATAGCAATTAAGCCTTACGAAACAGAGTGTTTCCTTTTTATAACAGTACGTAGATAAGACGTCAGCAAAAAGATGACGTCGCTATCGAAGCGATCGACATTCACGTTACGACGCACCTTGAGTTTTCTTTGCATCAGTAGTACCCCCCTTGGTCGAGGATTGCGAAAATTTTGTGTTCTTTTCCATTTCCGGCACGAATTTGTTCGTGCTGGTTTCCAACGTAAATGAGGCTTTGGTCTCCTCCGTATGGAGAAACAGTATATTTCTGCAGGCCCTTCATCTTCTTCAATAAGCCATGTTTCTTCAGCGTCAAAGATGGAGAAAATATCCTCGAGATGCCGATAATCGACGCTCGATGAGACGGTGTTACGATTACCACGGACACGTTCTTAACAGAGCAAAAGCTCTGTCCTGTTTCTCGTCGCAAACGACGATAAGCCCGTCTCCTGGCTCTACGGCCGAAAGCGATCGCGATCTCGTCGCTATGATGGCGACGAAACTAATGACTTGCGCAACCGGAAGTGCAGCCAGCACATATCGACTACATTCGTCAAATGAACATTTCGAATATGCACTATTATTCTGTATATTATTATTTTATATAGTTTATCGAGATAAATTTAAATTGAACATAATATAAGAATTCCAATGTGCATAGCGATTGATAATTTTTTAACTAATATGGCGAATGGTTGACATTCAGTTGATTTCCCTCGTTCAAAATTTGATTAGAGATTAGAATAATCGGAAATACGAATACTTGATAACGTCTAAATAGAATTTTTAGAAATATAATTGATTATTGCTAATTATGGGAAAAGTGGAAGTGTCAAAATTTAGTAGTAGAAGTAATGTTATTAAGGATAATGTTATTAATAAAAGGGGTGAGAATATTTTTTTCTTTAATTTTCTTTTTATAGACTAATCGAACAAAAGGAATATTTAATAAAATCAGTGTTTACTTAAGGTTCAATAAAGTTTTTGTATTTCGAATTATTTATTGGAAAACTAATATCATCTTGATTATTATTGAGAATGTTGTATGATAAGTGAATTTGCGAATTTCATTAAAAGATGGCGTAATGTTAGCGCGTGCGCATAAAGTATTAGAGGATTAGCTATATTGGTTTAGGCCATCTAACAGTCGAAGTAGGAACATGCATTATCATGTTTGATAAAAGAAATTTTATCAAATATTTATTTAGATAATGAAGATAAACATTTATTTAAACAATGAAATTTTTTCCTTCCATTTGAGATTTTTCTTCACTTGGTTATATTATAATTATAATTTTATCGATATTCATGAAATTTGTTGATATTCATTCATAAAATTGCAATTCCAGTTCCACATTTTTCGAACAGAATATACTTGAAAATATTATCTATAAAAATCAAAATTCAAAAGTGAATCAAAGTAAATTATTTAATATATCACTTTCGAGAAACTGCATTACCTAGAATACAATACATTCTTGGAATTAAAATGGCCGGACAACTATATTTAAAACGAACATCAAAGACAATTATTGTATTCTTTAAATTATGCAGCGTAAGATCACGAGGAAGTAGATTAAAGAAAATATAATAAAGACAATTAGAATAATGGGAAAATTTCTACGGTGAACAGCTAGTATCAAACACCATAAAATACCATAAAAAGATACTCGAAGGAAGCTTTATAATGGTGCTTACAATCTATACTTTAAGGTGGAACAAAAAAACTAATTTCAATTAAGGTTAAAAAAAGCTTTATTCTAGATTGAGGAACTATGGTATCTTGAATGTACTCAATCTACATTATTTACATTTCTCATTTATTCTGTTGATTTTGTAAAAGTACCTGTGTCGTTTATATTGCGCATTAAACCATATAATTTACAATATTTATTTACAATGTTAGTAATTTTATAAAAGTATCCTCTTAGAGTTACTTTTCTGCACAACCACTTTGCAAAAGATTTGTCGTAATTCCTTCGTTAATAATAAGTCGTTAACACGTTGGATGCCACGGGGGTCACCGGTAACTTCAACCAAATCGAATTATTATAATTTCTTCAATTAAACGATGATTATTTGGAAACTTTTCTGTATTACTAGTAATACTACCTAATGCAGTGACATTCAACAAGATAAACCTGCAATAATAATAACGCATTTCAATTACATAATTTGATATTAGATTATTTTCATTTTGTAAATTTTTGTCGGTAAAAACGTGCGGCACTCGACGTGTTAATTAGTACACCTTATTATAAAGATACTTCTGTTTTCTTTTTATTCTCTTGTTGCCTTTAGGTTTTATTTTTTTACAAAGTTACGATTTTTCTTTACGAGGATACGTATAATAAGTCTAAATTTACGTTCAAGTAGAAATCTAGTGAACGCAATGTTTGGTGATCTAGGATGTTTAGAGATTGATCCTCTTTGACCAATCTAGTATGAGAAATTAACGTCCATCAAGGTAATCTTTTCATCTGCCTCTAGGTAGCCATTTGGACGAATTGTTGAGGGTACATTTTCGGTTCGTTGAAAGCATTAAAAAATATTCTACTATCAACCAGTTAGGGAAGATGGATTAAAGAGTAATTTCTTTTAATCATGAGCATTAATTCATTAATCAAATTAAAAATTCTAATTCTCTAATAGCTTATTTTGCATTTAGAATACGTAGAGCAAATATAGCATATCTTTTTTAATTATAATAAAATTTTTATAAACTTCTCGTTATATAAATGTAATATATAAATATTAACAATTTTATTTACGAAATACACTAGAATACGTTTATAACAAATTGCAGGATGCGCTAGGGATATTCTATAATATGGTATTAAATTCGTGAAGAAAATTTTCAAGCGAATTCCAGAAATTTAAGTATTACTTATTTATTTTTAATATAAATCAGATATTACTTATAAAATCCTTTTCTTTCTCCATTAAATTATTAACTATAAAACAAATACTTTTGTTAAGCACAGTTGTGAAAGAAATCATGGAATAATCATAGGTTAACTCTGTTAATTCTTAAGCGCCGAAATATCTTTATTTCCGAAAAAAGAAATATACATTCTACCGACATATATTCCCCTAACAAATATATTTTTAACAAAACTTTAATTAATTTTAATAATACCCGTAAAATAAAATACCAAAGGAATTAAATATTCCACTTATTAGAAGAACTCAATTTATACTATTATTAAGAAATTATCATCTCTTAATGAGTAAAACAAGAATTTCTACAAATCATTAAAATCACATTAAACGGTATTTAATTTAATAGTATCTAAGAAGGATTTACACTATCACTGAGAAATCATTATCATCCCTTAACGAATAAAACAACAATTTCTACAAATCATTAAAACAACGTGAAATAGTATTTAAGGAGAATTTATACTATTATCGAGAAATTATTATCTTCCCTTAACAAATAAAACAAAAATTTCTACAAATCATTAAAACGACATGAAACAGAAGAACGCCACGCACAAAGTAATCGCGACGCGCTATCACTAAGAACTCATTATCCTCCCCCACCGAATAAAACAAAAATATCTACAAATCATTAAAATAATGTACAACAGTATTTGATTGAATAGTATCTAAGGAGGATTTACACTGTCACTAACAAATCATTATCCTCCTTCACCGAATAAAACAAAAATGTCTACAAATCATTAAAATAACGTGCAACAGTATTTGATTGAATAGTATCTAAGGAGGATTTACACTGTCACCAAGAAACCATTATCCTCCCTCACCGAATAAAACAAAACTTTCTGCAAATCATTAAACTCCATAAAACAGAACTCCACGCACAATGTAATCGCGATGCGCGCGCCTTTTTCGCTGAGCGCGGAATCCCGGCCGCGCGATTGGCTACCGTTTTCGCGAGCGCGGATCGCGCTGGTCACGTGACGCTGCCGCGTATATACGTACGTCCGCCGGCAAAGTTCCACACTCACTCTTTCGAACCTTTACGACGCGCTACCCTTTTCGAATTCGCGATCCGATCTTCCATCAGTCCACCACCGTGACCGTTATACAAAATATAATAATAATAATAATAATAATAATATCCAAGAACACCAATTCAGAAACCAATCTTGGAAACAATGGACCGTTGCTGTCAACGATGACGTCTAACCTAGAACGATCGGAGAGTAGTCACACGGGTAAATGACGGTATACTAGAATATCCGTACGACTGAACCACTCGAAGCAGAACTATCCGAACTCTCCCGATCGTGGAACACCGCGAGACTGTGCCGTGTGGCGGCGCGTAGTCACGGGGTAGAGGAAGTTTTCTTAAAGCTGGCCTGGCGCTACGCGACGCCGTGGATCGGTTTTCACGCGTAAAGAAAAAAAACGGCGCGCCGTGGGCTGTCAGTGACGCGGGAATGGGT